CTTCTTCCTCCTCCTCGGCCCCCTCTTCCTCTCCGGCCTCTTCCTTCTCCTCCTCTTCAGCTTCTCCTTCAGAGGGGGGTTCATCCTTGGCTTCCTCCGCTTTAGCAGCCTCGATGGTCTCCTCCACCTCGATCTGCTCCTCCTGGACGTGGCTGGTGTAGTAGGATGGGAAGGAGCGGGCAGACATCAAGTAGGAGCTGGTCTGTAAACCACCATAGGCAGATCGGCCAAAGACCTGGGAGCTCTGGGAGTAGCCGCTGGTGATGCTGCCCACACTGGTGAAACTGAGCCGGGTCTCCTCGCCTTCCAGGAGTTTCCTGTAAGCTGCGATCTCAATGTCCAAAGCCATCTTCACATTGAGGAGGTCTTGGTATTCTTTCAGGTATCTTGCCATTTCACTCTTCGTGGTTCTCAATTCATTTTCTAATTTGTTGATTGTGTCCTGCATAGCACTGATGTCGGCATTTTGCTTGTCCTCCAGCTCCTGCAGCTGCTTCTCCAGCGCTTCGTTCATGCCCCGGCAAGCCTCGATCTCCAGGGTCTTGGCCTTGAGCAGGCGGCGGCTCTCGGACACCTCGTCCTTGGCGGCGCGCACGGCATCGGTGTTCTTGGCGGCGCTCTCGGTCAGCACCGTGAAGCGGCTCTTGAACCACTCCTCGGCGTTCTGCATATTCTTGGCGGCCAGCTTCTCGTACTGCGCGCGGATGTCCTTGAGCGCAGCGGAGAGGTCGGGCTTGGTGGACACGTCCATCTCCACCGAGATCTGAGCGTACTGGATCTGGGCCTGCAGCTCGGCGATCTCCTCCTCGTGCACTTTTTTCAGAAAAGCGATCTCGTCCATGAGGCTGTCGATGCGCTTCTCCAGCTCGGCGCGGGCCAGCGCCGCCTCGTCTGCGCCTTTGCGCGCCTCCATCAGCCGGCCCTCGGCGTCCTCGCGGCTCAGCACCTCCTCTTCATAGCGCGCCTGCAGCTGGCGGAGCGTCTCCTCCAGCCCCTCGCGCTCACCCTGCCTTCAAACATACTTTATACGATAGGAAGGAAATTGGCATTTATTTTGAGTGACCATTATTGCCAATAACACTATGATTAAATAGTATCAACTGTATTTTTACACACGAAGAAACTAATCTGAGATCAGAGAAGTTGTTTGTTCAGTCTCACAGCTATGAAGTGGCAGAACCAGAATTTCACTCACTCCATTATACTATGCAACTTCTAAATCATCTGCTGTAATCATAATATTCCACTTCTCAAAATCCTGACTGCTTTCTTAAATAAGAATTCTGCATTTTTAGTCTATGGTATATAGTTGATACTAAGGACTTCTCATTGTCATATTTATTACTATTTGTGTATGTGTGTGTGTGTGTGTGTTTTCTCCTCCCCTGCCTTCCTACATTAAAATTTAAGGTTGTTGTGGAATGCAACTCTAATTCATTGTTATATTTTTCGCCTCTAGAGTAGTGCCTGGCACAAGGAAAGCACTCAATAAATATTTGTTGACTGAGGCCAGGCGCAGTGGCTGACACCTGGAATCTTAATACTCTGGGAGGCCAAGGTAGGTGGACTGTCTGAGCTCAGGAGTTTGAGGCCAGTCTGAGCAAGAGTAAGATCCCTTCTCTACTAAAAATAGAAAAATTATCTGGGTGTTGTGGTGGCTGCCTGTAGTCCCAGCTACTCAGGAGGCTGAGGCCAAAGGATTGTGTGAGCCCAGGAATTTGAAGTTGCTGTGAGCTATGATGCCATGGCACTCTAACTATGGCAACAGAGTGAGACTCTGTCTCAAAAAAAAATTGTTGACTGAATAACTCATGGATTTGAAATTTGAGGGAAAACTTTGATCTCTCTGAGCTAGGCACAGATAAGTAATTATGGTATAAAATAAACATGGCAATGATAATTCCTGTCCAAGGTTTTTAAAGCTGCACATCCAGGATTTTCAGGCTGGAATAATGAGCCATTTTTCACCAGTAGATGGTGATATATACACACACACAAGCAAATAACATTAGCATGGTCCTTTCTTGTTTAGAGCTTTTCGAGTTGACATCTCATTTGATGTTCAAATACCTGTGATGGAGAAGGTAAGTGGCAATGAAGGAGTGAAAACATTTTTTTTTGGAAATTTAATTCCTACTTAATTTTCTGCTGTGACCTTAATGGTTATTCAATATAAAAGTTAAATTTGGCCAGTATTAGTACATCCTAAAACTTTACCACCAACTAACTGAGTTAACTGGCACAAAGTTGAACATCCAACTCTATTAAAAATCTAGAGCTAAGCATACATATAAATTTTATGAGCTCTGGTGGCATAAAACATGAGTAACTTAACCCCCCCAAATCTCCTGCTACCCAATTTAAAAATAAGTGTCCATCAAGTTCTTGGCTGGAATAAACAAGAAACAAGTTTATCAATCCAGGTTTCGCTTTTGGCCATGGTATATTTACTAATAGGAAGAGTAATGTTCAGAAGACCTGTAGTAAAAAAGTGAAGAAATAGCAATTTAGAAAACAAAGTCATCAGCCTCCGAATAGGTAGCTATAGTGAGATCTCTTACATGTTATAACAAAGGAAAGGAATGAAGAGATGTTTTAGACATGGTTTATGTCTGGTTTGGGAGGAAAAAAGCATGAATTCTGTACCTCTCCAGGCCGAATCTTGATGAAAAAACTGCTACGTTTGTAAGAAATCTTCAGTACTTTAGGCCAAGGAAAGCGGTTAATTCTCAGCTTATCTTTGTAAACCAGAAGGCCACTAGAGCAGACACCAAGGATGATATCCACCCCCTCCAAGTCCTAAAAAAGAAAAGTGTTTAGCATGTTCAGGCTTGAGCAAAGTGCTCAACATTCTGTTGACTACTATGGCATAATCTGAAGATATGAACAAACAAAAACATTTACAAAGCATACAATAAAAAATAAAGCTTAGCCTAATAATCATAATCCATCTAACTTTATTTCGTTTAAATCAGCAGGCATGGCTGGGCATGGTGGCTCATGCCTGTAATCCTAGCACTTTGGAAGGCCTAGGCAGGTGGATTGCTGGAGCTCAGGAATTTAAGACCAGCCTGAGTAAAAGAGAGACCATGTCTCTACTAAAAATAGAAAATAGAAAAAAAAAAAATGACTAGCTAGGCATCATAGTGAGCACCTGTAGTCTCCAGCTACTTGGGAGGCTGAGGCAAGAGAATTGCTTGAGCCCAAGAATTTGAGGTTGCTGTGAGCCATGATAATGCCACAGCCCTCTAACCAGCGTGACAGAGTGAAACTCTGTCTGAGAAAAAAAGAAAAAAAATCAGCAGTTATGACTTTCTAAAAGGCCAGGGTTTAGAGCTATGTTTATTACCAAATATACACCCACAATTATAATTCCTTTTTTATGATAAAGTGGCAATCTCTCCAGGAATCATGTTAAGTATAGGAGTTGACTATTTTTGTATGAACTCAGTATAAGGAAATTTCAGGTTCTAATAAATAATTGACATTAAGTATATTAAATTAAAAATATGATACCTAAGCCAAGAAGGAATATTAAGGTAAAATGAAGTCCTATTTACATGCCTCTTTAGTAAAGAAATTTTTTGTTTTGTTTTGTTTTTGGAGACATAGTCTCACTCTGTACCCTGGCTAGAGTGCTGTAGCATCAGCCTTGCTCAGAGCAACCTCAAATTCCTGGGCTCAGGCGATTGCCATGTCTCAGCCTCCTGCATAGCTGGGAATATAGAAGCCTAGCTAATTTTTCTATTTTTAGTAAAGATGGGGTCTCACTCTTGCTTAGGCTGGTCTCAAACTCCTATGCTCAGGCAATCCACCTACCTTAGCCTCCCTAAGTGTGAGGATTATAGGCATGAGCCACAGTGCCTAGCCTACTAAAGACATTTTTTAAAAACTAAATATATAATATTAATCATCTATGTTTGTAAAACAAGAAAAATAAATTTTGTTTAAGTTAATCTCTCTAAATGAAGATTAGTTTAGCTAAGGAATCAAAATTCAGAGTTAAGTGCTTCTTGACTATTTTTTTTTTCCAAAAATGAGTATAGAGAAACATATTAGTGACTACATGTGTTATGTACAAACGTAACAGAGAAGCAGAAATTATATACAGTTCCAATTCAGTGACTATGTAATTGAGAATTTCCCAGAAGATGCGCTCTTAAATTTTTAAAGCCTATACTTATCTCTTTCTCTCTTAGTGACATACTTTGGAGAAACAATTTGCTTTACAACATTTGGAAAAGGAACATGCTGTCTGATTCCTGCATTCTTGAACTAACACCTGCTTGAGCTCACAGGTTCGAGACCAGCCTGGGCCAGAGTGAGACTCCGTCTCTAAAAATAGCCAGGTATTTGGGAAGCTGAGGTAAGAGAATCACTTAAGCCCAAGAGTTTGAGGTCGCTGTGAGCTGTGAAGCCATGGCACTTTACCAGCAACAAAGTGAGACTCTGTCTTAAAAAAAAGAAAAGTAAAACCTAACAATTTCAGTTCTAGAAATACATCTAATCTTATGTACTGATCTTACTACCTTCTACTTTAGAGATTCATAGAAATTATAGTACTCAGCCCAAAACAATCCAGAGCAACATCTTAAGAAAAATTGCAATGGAATTTTATTAAAATTAAGAGAATTTAAATAAGGAAAAGACTATCAGATACTCAGGTTGAGAGAACCCTGAAAGGTCACGTTAGTCCAATCACACACCAGATGCTTAAATGTCCTTTTCTAAATTCCTATGAAGTGACTGTTCTGCCTATTCTGGAATACTTCTAGCAATAGGGAGTTCACTACCTACTGAGGTAGACCAACCCATCTTTGAATAGCTCTGTTAAAAAATTTATCAAGTTGAGCTAACAGTATATGTCCTTATAGCTTCTATTTTACTATCTCTAGGTTTATTATCTTAGAGCCACAGTAAAATCTCTACTTCACATACCACTCCTTTAAACACACAAAGACAGATATTACATCTTCCCCAAACTTTCTCTTTTTTTTTTTGAGACAGAGCCTCAAGCTATCACCCTGGGTAGAGTGATATGGCATCACAGCTCACAACAACCTCCAACTCCTAGGTTGGAGCGAATGGCTCAAGCGATTCTCCTGCCTCCGCCTCTCAAGTAGCTGGGACCACAGGTGCCTGTAACAATGCCCAACTATTTTTTGGTTGCAGCCATCACTGTTGTTTGGCGGGCCCGGGCTGGATTTGAACCCATCAGCTCAGGTGTATGTGGCCGACACCTTAGCCACTTGAGCCACAGGCGCTGAGCCCTTTCTCTTTTTTTTTTTTTTTTTTTTAATGCTAAGTATCCCATTCCTTTAATTGCTTTTCATTGGAAACAGGTTTTGAGTCTCCTCATCATGCATCCTAGTTACACTCTTCTGAATGAGTCTCACATCATCCCCTTGAGAACCCTTTCACTCACAACTTCCTCAACCTCTCTACCTATTTTTTTTTTTGGAGACAGAGTCTCACTTTGTCACCCTCAGTAGAGTGCTGTGGTGTCACAGCTCACAGCAATCTCCAGCTCTTGGGCTTAGGTGATTCTTTTGCCTCAGCCTCCTGAGTAGCTGGGACTATCGGTGCCTACCACAATGCCCAGCTATTTTTTTTGGTTGCAGTTTGGCTGGGGCCAGGTTTGAACCCACCACCCTCGGTATATGGGGCTGGCGCCCTTCACTGAACCACAGGCGCCACTCTTTTTTCGTTTGTTTGTTTTGCTTTTCTTTTTTGAGACAGAGTCTCAAGCTGTTGCCCTGGGTAGTGTGCTGTGGCATCACAGATCACAGCAACATCAAACTCTTGGGCTTAAGCAATACTCTTGCCTCAGCCTCCCAGGCACCTGCCACAACACCCAACTATTTTTCCAGTTGTCATTGTTATTTTAGTTGGCCCAGGCCAGATTCAAACCTGCAAGCCTCGGGGTATGTGGCTGACATCCTACCCACTGAGCTACGGGCACCATCCTCTCCAGCTATTTTAATAGCTGAATATAAGAATCAAGAAACTTGCCTTAAGTATTCATTCTGTTAGGTTGTATTAGGTTGAACTAGGATTAAAGCTCAAGTTTCCAGTGCCCTACTCCAGTAGTTGTTTTTTTATTTGTTTCTTGAGACAGAGTCTCACTCTTGTTGCCTGGGCTAGAGTAACCTGTGTCACATAATGTATATACATGCATATTAATAAAGGCCAAATTTATCATTACCTTTGCTTTATGAAGATCAACTCCATACATAGACAAC